ATCTGAGAATTATTTTGTGCATTAAATTGAATGAACATGGTCTGGATAGCCCACAGACATACCAGAAAAATTTCTAGGACCCATAATTGGTTTCCATTAAGGATCTGCAGGAACCTTGTGTTACTAACCTGAAGAAAGAAAATGGATATGTATATTTAAACTCTGATTCCAGCTCAGCTCTCTTTAATTTTTTTTAAAATTTTTTTGAATTGAATTTGAATTACTAAAGATTTTCTGCAGACAGAATAGTTTTATACCTTTATATGTTGCGCTCTGACACAGACCCACACAGAATAAGCTCCTTGTTCCTCAGGTTTGTATGAGACACAGTACGTCCCATCATTGTTGTCAACCACTGCCGTCTGCACTGTGCTGAAAAGAAAAACACAAGCAAACCTTTTCTTTTTTCATGTTTGATGAAAAAACTATTATTTTTTCCCCCATTTGACATTTTAACTTTAGTTACAAAAACAGAAAACATTGTTCCAGTTAAAGGATTTCATCTGTGTTATAAGCTGTAAGAGTTAGCCTGTTAGCAAGTGAAACAAACAGCCTACTGCAGACTTGCTTACAGTTAAAATAAACATTAGCTTGTCAGCATCTTAAAACTTTGCAAAAAGCAAGAATACATAAGTAGAACTAAAGAGTTGCCTCAAAAAACAAAGAAACAAAAAAATAATAATAAAAAACAGTCAACAAGGTTCCAGGGTTGTTTTTCATTCTGACTTTCTGAGTCAGAAATGGTCCTGGCAGAGCCCACCGGACACTAAGAAGCGCTCACCAGTTCTTCTTGTCTTTGTGGACGATGCTGACGAGGACACGCTCTCCTCCTCGGGCCAGCTGCTCCCCGGCTGAATCTCGACACACCAGCATGAAGTGGCCCTTCTGGTCCTCAGTGCACTGACGCAGACCTGTGACCACAAGAGAGGGTGAGAGGACAGAGGGCAGAACAGAGACATTAACACACTCTGGATGAAAAGATAAATTATCTAAACATAGACTGTCTGTCAAAACAATTTGTTTCATATTAAAATGTCTCCAGAATTAGGGATTTATAGACCAAAAATACTTAGAGAGCAAACAAGAACCTGAATATCCAAGTAAATCCTGKAGATTTGCTGTAAGAGTCTGGCTCTGTCATAGTTTAGATTATTACAAACGTAAAATCAAACTGACTACTGGGTTCTAGAGATAAAAGAGACTGTATGTGGGGAGTTTTGATCTGTAGCACTGACACCCTCCAAACGACACAACCTGAAGAGCACAAACTCTGATCAGTTTCTCACAAAACTGCTGAAAAAATTTGTAACATTGTGCCACAAAGACTGAAGGGYTAATCCAGAACTGCTTTAAAGGTAATCCAACACAAAATAAAGACACTATCATTCCTAATGAAAGATTTGATGTTTCAGAGTCATTTGAGGACAAGTTCCTGCACAAGACAAACATCTGACAACACACAGAGCTGTTAGCAAACATTAGCTCTGTACTTTAGCTTATTGAGAAGAACAAAACTCCGTCCAGAAACCTGTGTTTGCTTTAGGTTTCCACCTCTGGCACAAGTCAACAGCTTCAGGCTTTCAGAGTGAGMCCCAGAGAATCAGCAACAAATCTCCACAAGATGCTTCAGTTTGCTAATGTGACCAGAAAATGACCCACCTGACTGTAAGACCATCTGCTCCTGTGAACCAGGTGATGTCATTTTAACTAACAACATGTTTTTAGCTCAAATAACAAAAATACAAGTGAAAAACCAACAGGTTTTAATCATTCAGTTTGATATTTATTTAACATGACTGCCATCTTGTGGTGTACCTAAGTGACTGTAATCAGGCTCCATTGATGTAGCAGCATCATTAACACTGTAGTGTGAACACTGAGCAACATTCATACTCAAACCAGTTTTCTTCCATGTTTTCTGCATGCACCTCGTTATGCAATATTACTTCCATTTCAACTACTTATATATCAAAACGTTCTGCTCCTTTAGGACATTCTGGATATGACTTTTGGTGTTTCAGCAATTTATAAGTTTTGAGATATTTAGCTTTTTTCTGCCATTTTTTTCTCATATAAAACAAATGGAGATGTTGTAATCATACTTAACACTCTTCACAGTGTTCATAAATCTTTTACCGCACTTTTCATATTTTGTTCTGTTTCTGCTTTTTAACCTTTTTCGGCTTCTTTAGCCTTTTATTTAGATGATTTTAGCTTTTTCTGATTTTTAGGTATTATTCTGACGTCTTCTGCTATTCTTCTACTAATTTCAAATTTGTATGATTCCTTTAGCTGTTTTCTGCTAACTTCACCTTTTTGTGATAATTTCAGCTTCTTACTGCAGAAGAAGAAAAAATATTATATCTGCCCCTTTTCTCAAAATAATTATTTAAAAAATAGTCTTCAAATAACAAAACCAAAACAAAAAAGAAGAAAATAAATAAACTAGAAGCAATCGGAGAGTGCAAACCTCCGCCAAGACCAATTTCCCCCATCCTGTAACACTAGAGTTACAAAGGGGCACACCAATACTACAGTGCCACCTGCTGGACACTTTGAAACCCACGCCCTGTGAAAGCATCACAGCTTTGCCGATCTCAGAGTGTTGAAAGAAAAAAAATTCCTGTATCCGCATCGTGATCCGGAACATCACCAAAATGTAAAGGTGTGTTACTTGGTCCAGTACCTACATGAGGTAAAAATTTCATGACAATTCGTCCACAAGTTTTTGAGTAATGTCCACAGACAGAACGACAGACCGACTGACAGACAGACGGACAGACATAAGCGACTGAAAATATTACCTTGCCGTTGGCGGAGGTAATAAAGACTAAACTCCTAGAACAACAACTCATATAAATACACAAACCGTTACATATTTCTCCAACAGACTAAGCTTTACATGGGGTGTGTGTGTGTGTGTGTGTGTGTGTGTGTGTGTGGGGGGGGGGGGGGTCACTGGTGCCAATATCCAGCAGTCACAGTGTGAGGGCCGGGGTACACCCGGGGTACACCCACACAGGTCACAAGCCCATCACAGGGACACCTCGAGACAAACAACCACTCTCTCACTCACACCTAGGGACAATTAAGAGTTATCAGTTAACCTAACAGTCATGACTTTGGTCTGTGGGAGGAAGCCAGAGTTCCTGGAGAGAACCCAAACATGCCCGGAGAGAACATGCAAACTCTACCCAGAAAGATCCCAGGGCCGGGATTTAATCCGGCAACCTGCTTGCTGAGAGACATCAGCTCTACCAACGGAGCCACCGTGCCGCCATTCTTCTACTGATCTTTCACTTTTGTTGTCCTATTTTCAGCAAAAAATTTTCAGCATCAAGGATTCACACTACATGTTTGTAGGAAATGCAAATTCTCTAGTTACATGTTAATTTGAACGACTGGAAGTTTTCAAATAAATGAATGATTGTGAATAACAAAATAAAGACACTTAAGATACAAGTACACTTTTAAAATATTTTAACTTTTTTTTTTACCTTTTCTGAACTGGTAAAATATTTAAAAATACGTTTTTGTGAGTAGTGGTTTTGTGTATGAAAAACTGTCTTGTAGTCAGGTCGAAGTTTCCTTTGTCTTGATGGCACGTGTATGGACCTGCTATGTTTTGTGTGTAAACATCCTCAAAGTGTATTACCTGAAGGAATGTTGAGTCATTTCAACATTCCTTCAGCTGCTGGGGAATTTCTTTAATTCCCTTACAGAGGCAGCAGCAGTGGTGTTTATCTGCACAGCAATAACTCAGTCTGCACTGACTTCTGTTTCTCTCATAAATAAAAAGGTTGATGCTACGATGCTATGATGATGTTGATGCAGTGGTGGGCACCAGTCCGCTAAAGCGCAAATCCGCTAATTGTGGACCTAAATATTTCGTTTGTGCTTTAGCGGTCTTACTATTTTTATAATTCATAAGCAGATTTGCGCTTTCTAAAATTAAAATGCAGTACCACTAATAACTAATTATCTACCAGTCATCATTATCTTGAACAGCAGAAGGTATGACTGTCAATGAATCACAACACACATGATCTATCCATCAGCACCCCTCCCAATTAAACACACTTATTGAGAAGATATCCTTGATGACTGTTGCTTTGGGTCACAGTTCTCATTTCCCACAATGCTTTGTGTCTGCTTACATAGCAGGAAGGCAATAGCAAAAACACTTACCGTTTGTAATCCATACTAAAATTTTGTATGTATTGATTTATTTTACTTTACAAATATACAAAAATAATACAAAAATAAAGTTTAAACGCTGGAGCTCAATACTTGACGTAATTGGTCGAAGCAATCGGCCAACAAGGTAAGAGACGCAGAAATGATTTAAAGATGTTATGCTAATGAAGACTGACATCTAGTGGTCAACTGGAGCAACTACATGGAAAACTTTAAAATCCACGCTTTTATTTTGAAGTGAAGATAGTTTCCTGTACTCTGTGCTTTCGTTTCTCATCACAAATCAAATCCATCATGTACCCAGAATGCATCGCTTCAGTTTCCCAATAAACAGTTTTAAAATTACTTTATTGATGCTTCTTTAATGAAAAATCTACAACAAACAAAAGAAAAAGACAAAGAAGCAGCTGAGCAATCCTCATCAACTTTTTAATTTTTACACCAGGAGCTAAAGGTCTGTTTCATGAAATCACATCCCCAGCAATCGGCGCTTGTAGAATTAAGTTGTAAAAGAGTTCATACACCGCTAGTTTGCACAGTGTTGCCAACTTAGAGACTTTGTCACTAGATCTAGCGACTTTTCAGACCCCTTTTCCCCAAAAAGTCGCTAGATTTGACCGACAAATCTAGCCCCGGTGTTTTTAGAGACTTTTAGGAGCTTTGGCGACAGCATTTTCCAAGCACTGTTTTCCTTTCCTCCTCTGTTCCTCCGCAAGCAGCGAGCGCGGAGGTGAGCCCCTCCCCCTTCCTAAAGCCGTCCGAGTCACTGAAGCCTCGTGCAGCACCCCCAACCCTACCCCCACCCTTGGCTGAAGTCAGCCGAGAAGAGAGACTGCTGCAAATGAATCATGCATGCGCGAAGCTTCCACTGCTTCTGTSTGGTTTACAAAGCGGGATGTAATATTTACTGTAATGTTTTTTTCTCTGGCACTGTCTCTCTAAACTAAATCTCTGGACCCAGCTGTGTTTGACTCACAGATCAGTCACTTCTTCACCTCTTCCTCCCTGTGTCTCCTGACATCGAACTGTCTGCAGATTAAATTTAAAATTCCCACAAATTTAATTTATGTGGATCTAAGCATTGAAGTCATAAAATTATTTTTATTTCATTAAGTTTAATTGCAGTTCTAAACATATTTAGTGTTTTTATTCACTTTTATTCTCTTCATCATCTCTCCTATAGCTCAGATCACAATTATTGACAAACATCCAACTATGCAAATAAAGCGATGACGTCATCTAGCGACTTCTAGCGACTTTTAGGACAGTCATCAGGGACTTTTCTTGCTCAGGAGTTGGCATCACTGAGTTGGCAGTGTTGTGCATATAGTGTACATGAATTGCTAGTAAGTGTCAAATTGAACTTGCACTTAAAAATTAGCTTCCACTAGTTTTTCTACGGCACAAGTGCTTTTGAAGTTGCGGACCTAAATATTTTCATAAGGGCTTTAGAAATTGCGGAGCTAATTTTTGGACTGGCACTGCCCACCACTGGACGCTACAAATGAACACAGATCTGAAGAACAAAAAAATGTCGATCCATTAAACTTTTCTGAGACGTTTACCTTCTCCTTCAATGGTGCACCGGCTGACATCCAAAGTCCTGGAGTTGATCACACCCACCAGCGGGTAGCCCTCCACCTCCCCTGCCGTCTCAGTGGGCAGGAAGCAGATACTGCTACTGTCGTCAGGGGCAGCTGCAGCCGGTTGGGGTTCAGGACTATTCTCTGCCAAATCAGTGAGTCTCCTTAGAGTGACTCCTTTGGCACTAAGAATCTCAGCATCTGAACCGCAACTGAGAAGTCGCTCTGCAAACTCCACACCACCTCGGACGTCTTGCAGCGTCTGCTGCAGCTGTGCCCCCTGCAGATGGAGGTGGTTCCTGCAGGGCAGAAGAACCAGCTTAAAGGTGAGAATCTGTCTGCCGCACCGCCAAGTGGTGGTGGAGTTCCTACAAAATACTTTTATTAACGGATTCTCTCAAACCTGCGTTGGAGCCGCAGCTCCTCCAGACGTCGCAGCAGAGACAGGCAGTGAGCCTCCACAGCGCTGGCGTAGCCTCGTGCAAACGCTCTAATTTCACTTGCCACCGCCTCAGCTCGTGCCTGCAGATTGTCCTGGGAAGCTTCCACCTGGAAGAGGGTAGAAAAAAAATACACTGCATTTCAAACAGGAGGGGTCCTTTGTGTCCCAACACCTTGGGATAATAATTCTGCACACAAGGGAGAGATAAAAGATTAGAGTTGGGTTTCTGAGGACCTTCTGCAGCGCCTCCTCCAGCTGCTCCAGACGAGGCCGCAGCCGCGAGCCGACCAGTTCTCGGATGCAGTCGCTGTGCTGATTGATGACGTGGTGCGTGGGGCAGCAGCCATGGTCACGGTGCAGCGTGGCAGCGCACTCCAGACAGACGGGCAGGTCGCAGGGCGGACAGAAGAGCCTGAGCTCCTGGCCCGGGTGGWGGGAGCAGAGGACAGGGCGACAGAGACAACCACGAGCCTTCAGCTCCGCCACAGCATGAACAGAGTGAGAAGCTGTTCGCTTCTGACGCCTGCACACGAGACAACAGTATGCTCAGTAAAAACATAAACAATACACCTGTAAGGTTMAACTTTGTCCCAGTTTCAAACCTTTGCAGGACTCAAAAATATAACTTTCAAAAAGGTTCTAAATATTTTGTTCCAGCCATCTTTCACTTTTCTTAGTGCCTGAAAGTATAGAACATCCCCACAGCATGACATCACCACCACGCTTCACTGTGAGGCTGATGATGTCACATTTGGTGGTTAATTTACCTTAGACCTGATGTTGTCCTTGATCCATTTCTGTAGAAGAGCTTTATTTCCATCAGTTATCTTTGGCCTCACGAATGTTTCTCTGATGCCCTCCTTGTTTGGTTCACTCATTATTGTAAACCCTCTATTGACACCTGCTTCAGATGTTATCATCTATTAAATGGACGTTATTAGTCGTTATCAGTCCCATAGAATGGCTTCAGACTGTCCTGACTGTGCCGCCTAGTGGGTTCTCCGTCCCATAGAATGAACTGRTAACGTCCAAACTGGCTGGTTAATATGAGGCATAAAGCCACTAAGGTAAATTTTAGAGAAAACGACATGGGCTGTGATAAAGTAGACCATTGTTGCAGGCCCAACGTAGGGCAATGGATAGCGCGCCGGGCGGGAGAGCCAGGATCGAGACCAGGCACGGGCAGCGAGAACACCCCCCAGACAAAACATTTATTAAAATATGTTTTTGTTATTTACACATTCAATGTCATTGATATGTTAACCCACTAGGAGGCACTGTCGGGACAGCCTGAAGCCATTCTATGGGACAGATAACCGCTAATAACTTCCATTTAATGGACTGATAAAGTCAGAACCCGCTGCTATTGACAGGTGAGGGTATCTTACCATTATGTAGAGATCAGCGTCATTCAAAAATGGAATTCTGAACAATAGTAGGAACCCACTTGGATATCTTTAAAAATCTTTCCTGATCTGACTCTAATCAGCTCCACACAGCAGTAACCAGCACAGCAGTCAGGCCTCAGCGTTTAGCTTGTATCAAGAAACAAAAACAGAAACAGCCCAGCAGTCTGAATCTAAGCAGAGACTCTGCACTAGGGCTGCCACCATTAGTCGACTACTAATCGATTATTAAAATAATCGATGAGTAATTTAATAATCGATTAATCGTTTTTTTTTTTTTGTTCTTTACTTTGTTTTTCTCTCCAAACTGCTTTGACACCTTCCACGGCCACATCTGCCTTTCTGTCCTTGACACACATGCACAGTAGTGGTAACTGGCATAGGCCGTGGACGTCACAAGACATTATACAGACAGGCTCTGGTATCATGGCTACCTGACAACGGAGCTCAAAGTGTGGGATCATTTTAAGAAAATGAAAGAGAAAACTGTGCAATATCTGCAAGGCAGAACTTGCCTTCCATGGCAATTATTTTTAGTTAGCATATTGCTAAAATCTAATCATGGTTATGATAGCAGGTGCATTCTGGCGCAATAAGCTGTATGTTTTATTTTCAATTAACGTATGATCCGATTAGTCGACTAATCGAAAAAATAATCTGTGATTAATCGATTATAAAAATAATCGTTTGTGGCAGCCCTACTCTGCACAACTCAAAACTCTCTAAAAATCCTATTCATATAATGATAAACTGACCTTTTAATGTATGTGTCTTCCTGGTTACACCCCTGGAGGTGTTACCTTTAAAGTCAGACGTTAAGAACGTCACTAACTTTTGTTTATGCTACAGCCAGAACACAGGATAACACACACACACACACACACACACACCAGCTGATCGTTTACAAAAATCCCTTCAATTACAAATCCTATTTTGACAAAAAAGAGCTGTGAGAATTATTAGTAGAAAACATTAGGGCATCCTAGAAATACATTGATTTCATCATTTGAAATGACTGAAATTTTATGATTTGGTTCATTATGGCACCATGCAAATTATATACAAGAAAATATTACATGTAAATAGTCAATATAATATTAAGAGCAAAGAGATGTAAAAAAAAACCCCACTATTGTAACTAGTTTACTTCATTTCAAGGAATACATTTATGGAATAATCTTGATACTGGAATTAAAACTTCCAGAACATTTAATGTGTTTAAAAAATATGACAGAAGGTAGTTTATTAAAAATATATATTATGTAGTTTGTATTGACTTATTCAAATAAGATGTGAAGGATTTGACATCATTTTTTGTTTCGTTTACAAAAATTGCAAATATTTCAGGCTGGAGTCAGGATAATATTTAACTAAAGCTTTTTAAATTTATAGTGCTAATAAGGGGCAGATATGAAAATTTTCTTTTCTTTTGTCCTTTTTATTTATCACTCTCTATATAAAAGTTTTTAATGAATAAAGTGAAATAAAAATAATAATTTCTCCATAATGGATTTAACAGAGCTCCATGGGATGTTGAGGGTTAACTGTAGGCTCCTCCACAGCTTTGTTTCTGAGCTGGGGGGGCCCTTGGTCTTCATGATGTTATTAATTTGATCTTTCTCTACTTGACCCTGGAGGCTCAGATCAGATGTATGAATGTTTGATGTGGCTGTCAGAGCTCTCAGCTTCAGGTAAAACTGACCCAGCACACCGGGTCTACTCCACCTGTGAGCCTGGCAGCAGAAGCCGCACAGGTTGACGCAGCAGACGTCGCAGCGGCTCTCCGCGCCTCCCTCGCCGCACAGGTCGCACCCCAGCGGACCGTCCGACWCCAGGGTCTCCACAAACACCTCGTCCAGCGCCAGGTGGTCTGTGCTCAGCCCCGCCGGCCCGGACCGAGGGATGTCCACCTCGGAGTCGCACTCGGGACACAGCACCGTTACCGGGACTGCCGGTCGCTTCGTCTCCGCCGCCCCCCCGGTTCCGTAAGAGAAGGGCTCCAGCGCGCTGATGCAGTCCGAGCAGAACGTGTGCAGGCAGGGCAGGATCTTTGGGTCCCGGTACAAGCGTTTACACACCTTACAGACCGCTCTGGGGTTCACGGAAACAACTTTTTGTTCTGGTTCCGAGCTCGGTGTCGGGTTCTCTGAGGTTTCTTTCTGTTCCGACCGCGACATCGTTGGTTCTTGGGTTCTTCTGGTGGCTCTAATTAACTTTTGAAGAACGGCACCAAGAAACACTTCAGTTATGGAAAAGTTGGGTTGCGTTCAGGCTGCGTGGGACATTTGAYACCACACTCCAAACAGACCAATCAGGGGCTCCTCACGGACTATCCGGGGTGGTCCACAACTTTTCCTGGACTTTTAATGCCAGGCTGGTTCTGACTGCCCCCATCTACCGGCAGGACCCAACCATAGAACCAAGGTAAAATCCTGAAAATGGAATTAGTCCACGGCCTGTGTACCCAGACAGCCTCTGAAAAATGTTGTTGTTGTTTTTAGTTTGTTTATATTCGGTTATATTCGGATGTAGTTTTTATTCCAACACTCAGGACCAGTTCATGGCTTGGAGCACAAAAAATAAAAACAAAATAAACACTCAGATTAACTGAGCAGATAATGCGAGACAATAAGTGAAAACATTTAACATAATATTCAAAAAGTCACCAAAAATAACCCCTTCATTCACAGGGGGGGTGCCCCCCCTGAGTATAAGCTGGCCACCCCAGTGGCCCCCCCAGTTTTATCCTGTTGAGTACCCAGGTTTTTCCTTTTTCAATTCCCCTACCTA